TGCTGTCCTCATACATGTCCTGTACCAGTCTAACATGTCCTGCTGTCCTCATACATGTCATGTACCAGTCTAACATGTACTGCTGTCCTTTTATACATGTCCTGCACCAGTCTAACATGTACAGCTGTCCTCATACATGTCCTGCACCAGTCTAACATGTCCTGCTGTCCCCATACATGTCCTGCACCAGTCTGTCATGTGCATACATGTCCTGCACCAGTATGTCATGTGCATACATGTCCTGCACCAGTCTGTCATGTGCATACATGTCCTGCACCAGTATGTCATGTGCATACATGTCCTGCACCAGTCTGTCATGTGCATACATGTCCTGTACTAGTCAAACATACTTCTCAGCCACTCCAGACTTCCTCCTACAGTGTCTGACTGAAATAAATAATTTCAATCATACTGAAAATTTTAAAACATTAATCCGGATATAATATATTGACTGTTCAGTCAAACATCCTCTGACTGAAACAAATTTAGTGTGCAATGGTAAAAAAAAATCATAATATAAACAACAGGGAAGGCTTGTGACAAGAATATTTCCTGTGAAGGAACTTCATCTGTGTATAACTGAACTGCATGCCTGTACCTTGGGGTTGTCAATAATGGGAGTGATGCTCAGATCAGAGTCAGTATGGAGAAGCTGCTTCGTGCAGTTTGTGATGTCAGGACAAGAGCTGGCCTAATAGGGCAAAAAATTAGAAGAAGGTCAGCAAAGTCCACAGATGGAGAGAATATTTAAACATATAAATAGCAGCAGTAACCTCAACTGCAGGGTTCTGGTTCAGAGAGTCTGAAATGTTGCAGCTGCTTCTTAGGTTGGGGTGGCAACTATAAGAAAAATGAAAACAAAGAAAAAGAATGACTCATTGATGTATCAAAGTTCATGCTCATTAATCCAGGTAAAAATCCAACAAAGTTCAGTCAGGTCATCTAGACGGTTTATTTTTGGCTGAGACGTTTCATCCTTTTTTCAATTCAATTTAATTTAATTTAATCCAAAAATACTTTATTATTCCCAGAGGGAAATTAAATGTTGTTGTAACTCATCGTTCTGGTTTCATTAAAGAGTTGTTCTAGATGCTGATGGCTGTGGGCAGGAAGGATCTCTTGTAGTGGTCTGTCCTATAACGGATCTGAAGAATCCTCTGACTGAAGACACTCTGTTGTTGTATGACAGTGTGATGAAGAGGATGCTGAGGGTTGTCTATAATGTTCTTCATTTTATGAAGAATCCTTCTTTGTACAATCATCTCCAAATGTTCTAGAGGAGTCCCCAGAACAGAGCCCAATGGATTTCATGTGTTCGAGGAGCAACAAACAAACTAAGTCCCACGAGCAGCACAGGGACTCAGTTTGTTTGTGGCTCCTCGGACTGGTGAAGTCCTTTGGATGAAGGACAAACTGTCTCAACAAAAAAGAAACTGTCCAGAACTCCTTGAAGTAGTTTATTTAAAAATAGACTTGAGAGCTGCACAAAGGTCCTAATCACTCAGTCTACAGTTTTAGATACTGGTCACAGTATTTATGGTTAACTATCTAAAATAAATCTTTCAAACCTTTTCAACATTTTGGTAAAACATTAAATCAACTTTTTTTTCTGAATAAAGAAAGTTTATCATAAAAAAACAAGGTGATTGTCTGCAGTGTGTTGAAACTTTATCAATGCAGCATCACTGTGCACAGTATAATAACACAAAGGACTGCAGTGACTTGCAGACACACACTGCATGTCAAAAGTATATTTGACAATCAGACAGACCCCCACCCCTTAATGGCTCAAATGATAACACCCACACAGATAGTATTGTGATCATCATGATGACATAACCAAAACAAAGTTATTCATAACTCTTATTGCTCTTTAAATATTCAACAATATTGTTGCTGTACCTCTTTTTATTTATTTTTTCAAAACCCGTTTATTGAAAAAAAAAAAAAAAAGAGTACCTAAGCTGGAAGATGGCCTCGGTATTGTCCTGATCCTCCCAGAATTTTGGCCTCAGCTCCAACATATCTGAAGAAGAAGAAAGCATGTTAAGAATGTTCAGGATACACCATGACCTGTTGTTGTGAAAAAGATAAACACCACCACCAACTCACAAACCAAAGGATACAAACATACAAAAAAACAAAAGAATACCCAATTTAAAATAGTATTTATTTTTCTTGACGCTGCTAGATATTTGATTATAGTAGGTTTTTTTTGTCTGAATACAGTTTATAGTTTGAGATTACGCAGATGATACAATATTTAGAAGGCACAGTTCTGGACTAAAGAACACAAACATCAGGTGATCCATTACCTGTTACATGAGATTTATTGGGCTGCAGCAAAGGACACATTTGCTCCACTTCAGCTGGTTTAGGATCCCCTTCAGTCTTCACCTCCTCGTCTCCAGTTCTTTCATCCAATACCTCCTTCTGCAGGACCCAGCTGTTCCTGTGGTGAACGACTTGCTGGCTTTCAGTTCCTCTGTCATGTGGCTTTTTAGCTATTTCACTCATTATGTTTGAAGAGACGAGGTTCTTTGACTTCAGGTAGCCTGACTGGACGCTGGACGAGTGGCCACTGTCTGTCTGCTCTGCCCTATTATTAAAAATACAAACATATATTTACACTAAATCAATAAGAGGTGAAATACAAAAGTTTAATAGACAAAATATTGAAATTCTTCCAAACAAATCTTATGCTATTCCTTGGGTTGTTGAAATGTGTGGCAACATATAAAAAGATTTCAGTTTGGGTCTGAATTAAAAAGGTTTAAATGGGTTTTATGAACTTTAGCATTTGTAACTGCAAATGATGTGATAATGGTGATATTTATTACATTTGTTTGCTTTTTATTGTGTGTGTCACAAAGGATAAATTTGCAGAACAGCAAAACTATTTAAAAAAATTATTTTTAAAGCAAAATGCATGAACACACCTCAAGTTCACAGAGTCATCTCCCTCGCAGCCGTTACTTTCTCGCTTTTCACTGCGTTTATTGCTTTCTTCACCTGCATCTTCTTCCTCCCTTTTTGCTTGGGTCCAGAAAGGATGATCCAGCAACTCTGGCCAGTTGATCCTGGAGAAGAAAAACAACACAAGTAACATAAATAAAAAAATAATAATAAATAAAAAAACATTTTTAAGGACATAAATGTTTTTTATTAAAGAATAATTAGCAAATATATATATATATATATATATATATATATATATATATATATATATATATATATATTTAGATGAAAAATATATTTAAAAAAGTTACGAAGTGCTTTTACACTGTTCCTGCTCAGGGAAAATACTTAAACTACAGTACCACATTTAAATTCATCTAAAGTAAAAATAGCACTAGTCAGTGAAATGGGAAAATAGTAATCATGGTAAATATAAATGACTTATTTTGTGTTGTTCAAGGTTCTTTATTGTCGTTCACATCACATGTGGTACATGAGGTGGAATGTTTCTGTTTAATGCCCTGAGACGACTTCTGTTGTGACTTGGCGCTATATAAATAAACTGAACTGAATTGAATTGAATTGAATGAAATTGTGTCCTCAAGGTCCCAGTTACACCCAAAAATAGAAAAATAAAAAGCAAAAGTATACAAGGATCTAAGATGTACGCTAAACAATAATAATGTAATAAGTTGTATTAAACAGCAGCCTGAACACGAGTCTGTTGTGAGCAGATGGGAATGAATACAGCAGCTTAATGTAAGAAATGAGCAATTGTGCAACTGCTATAATCAACACTACATTCTCTGGTCTTATTTTAAAACCAAAACATCAGTAATTCAAAGTTTAACCAGCCCCGTCTGTCAGAGTATTGCTGCTGATTATCTTTTAAAAGTACAGTTTGATGCTAACTTGTAATAAGGTCAGACTACAAGTGATTCCAAACTTTTCCCTCTGACAGATGTCGTGTTAGCTGCTGCAGCAGGAGTGTAATCATATATACAAGGTCTGTGTGTCCGAGTCTGACCTGGTATCTGGGTTTTTGTTAAGCAAGCCTTTCAGAAGACTCTGGAAGTCCTGACTGGGAGGGGCTGCTAAAAACACAACAAACAAAACATAAGACATCCTGGAAAAACAAAGCTCAAAATGCATGGATAAACTGTCCTGAAGCAAACACGATGTACCGCATTAAAAAACAACCATCTCTGAAATAACTTGAAACTGACAAAGTTTAATGGCATCCCTTCTTGTTTATTCCATATTCAACACAAGTCTAACTTGGCTCTGATTATTGATTTAGTTGAATAATTCATATAATTAAACTAATGCAAATGGCACAAGTGAAAAAAGCTGGTATCCTTTGAAGCAGCACCTTTTGAAGCAATCTGCCAACAAGTGATGTCTGTGCTTCAGAATGAATGTCTGCATTTGTATCTGCGTTAATTAGGCACAATCTTCCTGAGAAAACTGCTCAAGCTGTCTCAGGTTTAAAGAATAGCGTCTTAACAATGCAAATTCCAGTTCTTTCAGAAAATATTTAACAGAAAATAAGATCTGGGATCATACAGGATCATTTAGGAATAGTCACATGATGCTTTTCAGCCACTCTTATGGTTTTAGCTACACGTTTTGGGTCATTTTCGTGTTGAAGGACTCATGACTTATCAGGGAGAATACGTTTTTTGACACTGAGCAGAATGCTTTGCTCAGGAAGTCTTGATAGTCTTGAGACCTCATGCACAGATTTAAGGTTCCCCGTGTGAGATGAAGCAAAGCTTTTCTTTGTCATTTTTCCTCTGTAAATATAGACCCAGCGCTCCAGTTTTGTCTCTTCAATCTAAAGTATTATCTCTCAGAAACTTTGGGGCTTGTTAACAAGCATTTTAACAATTCCAGTCTGTTATTTTCTCGTGTTTTCCTGTTAACAGTGGAGCCTCCTGGGTCTTCTTCCATGGAGCCCATTATGTTTCAAAGAGCAATCAGGAAGTGAACTTGGAGTTCAGCTTGAATAGTTTTAGATAGTTTGAATCTTTCTACCACCCACACCATCTAATCAACCTGGGATGCACGTCCCCTTGTGTCCAAATCATAAATGGTTGCCTACCCATGAACCTTATAGGTATTTTTAATAACAATGGCAGCTGTGATCAGAGGAATGTGAAGCTGCTTGTAGATGGTCTTGTAGCCACTACCTTTAACATGGATATCTATAATAATCTCTTGGAGCTCCACAGACAGCTCTCATCTTTGTCTTCTCTGCTCCATGTTCAGTGTGGTGCACACAAACCAACACTAAACCACACAGTGGCACATTTGTTCCCTTTAAATGACTGATAAAAAGCTTGAAAGCTTCCGTGATAGTAATTAAGATCAAACAAAACCATAATACAAGGTTTTATAGTATTTGTACAAGTATCAAAAAATCTGTACACACAAATGAAGCAAATCTTTGCAAAATAAACAAAAACATTTTTCCACTATTTTTTGTTTATCCCCAAATGCATAGGACATTAGACAAATTTTAACTGAATCACTTTTCACAAGACATGAAGCATTGTTTCAATGTACCAGCAGAGAGTATTAATAATTTTGTCTGTATACATGTGTAAGCATGTGTGATAAAGTTAACCTTACTGGTTACTCTGAGAGGAGGGGGGTCTTGATGCAAAATCATTTCTGTCAGATCAGTGTGATTGTCAGAATAAAAAGGAGGTTTGCCTGGAAAACAAAAACATAATTATAAACTGTCAGCGTCTCTTTATTGCCGTTCCACCACATGTATTATGTGCAGTTACAAAAAGTAAATAAGCCATGCATTTCAATGCATGCTCGAGTTATATGTGTGTGTGTGTGTGTGTGTGTGTGTGTGTGTGTGTGTGTGTGTGTGT